CACAGCACAGCATATGCCGAGGACCTTTCAGGGGTCTCTGGGAGGCCTGCTTAGTTTGTTCTGTAGCGTGCTCTTCCACGCGGTTCCTGGGGGAGCTCCACCTAGTGTTTGGCTGTGGACCTCTGCATCTGCTCTAACCGTTATCTAGGTGAAGCCTTTCTGATGATGGGCTGGGCTTTTTTTCTAGGCCAGCCTGAATTAGAGTACAACTTTATTTCTGGGGAGAGAGGGATGGATGGAGAGGAGGATGGAGGGAAGGAGGGAGAGAGAAGCGACAAAAGACATGAAGCAATGTCTTACTGAGGGTGACATGCAAATGGCAAGTAAGTACCTAACAAGGTGTTCAGTGCCCTCAACCATTAGGAAAATGCTAAATAAAACCACATTGAAATGACAAAGTGGCCAAAATGAAAAATACCGGAACTCCTAAACTGCCAAGTAGGACTGTAGTGCTGTGTGGCCACCCTGGACAATAGTTACGCGGTTCCATATAAAACTGGGTATGAACGTGCCAAGTGACTCAGTTCATTGTTCCAAACAAATGTAAACTTACTGTCATGCCAAAACTTGTACATGAGTGTTCATTGCGGTGGCCCAAGCTGTAGACGGCTGAAAGGTCCGGCATTAGACGAAGGTAACTCTAGGACTGGGACTGTAACTCGGTGGTAGAGCCGTGCTTGGCCCGTGCAAGCTCCGAATTTGGTCTCCCAAAGCATTTGTTTCAGTGAAGTTGTATTCACCTCTGCTGCGGAATGCTACTAAGAAATAAGGAGGCAAAGCTGAGAAAACCTGGGTGAATCTCAGGTTTTATGCCGAGTGGAAAGCAAGGCAAGGAAGAAAGCCATTACTTGTGTATGTAGTGTGTGCGGTCGTTTCCGTGGCGGTCTCAGAAAGACAACTATAGAGAGCGACTTAGTGGCTTCCAAACTGGAGCCCTCTGGACAGAGATGGGAGTGGCTACGAAGAGAAATGGCAGACAGGGATGCCAGGTGCTGGAATGACTTATCGGCTTAAGCCCCCCCCCGCACCCCCCCCCAGCAATTCTCATTCTCACAGGAGGCCTCATCTCTACAGAATGTTTTCTTGAGTTCCCAATGCCTGGGTGGAATGCTGAGACGGGGGGGGGGGGGGGGGGGGGATCAGGGGCAAGATTCTTCACCTCAAGACAACTGTCTCTGTGACCATCAAAGTCACCTTTGCCATTTGGCAGCTACTTCATTGTGCGTTAATCCCTAACCTAAGTAAACACTCCTGTGGAATCACTTTGCATTCCGTGTTTCCCCCACACACACCCCACAACCACCCCGTGTCCCGTGTGTTGTCGTCCCACTACACGCACCCACTGTCTGCCCCAGGCGCCCTCCTCTCCTCACCACTGAACCGCACTTCGGTCAAGGAACCTCTCTGGAAGGTGTTTCCATAGGAAGTAAAGCAGCCCTGGAGGTTTTCAAAGCTAGGAGACTCCTTCCTGTTCTTTTGACTCTGTGTAGTGCCCACAAGGCTGAGCGCAAGAGAATCTGCCTGTTTTAATCTTTAACCCATTTTACCTTCGGTAAATGCTCTTACTGTTTGCTTGCTTTCTTACTGTTTCCTGTTTTCCTCCATTTTGTATCTAAAAGTAAAGTAGGGTGGGAAATTTTGGGAAACTCTGAGCAAGAATCCTTACCGCCTTCATGAACTCATGTTTGCATGCAGTTATTTTGATGCACAAACCTGTGGTAGCCCTGTTTGTACAACACTTACTGTAAGAGATGCCCTATGCATACATGCTATTTCTGTGAACACCTATAATTAGAATTTTTTTTCCAAGAGCTAGGAATTAAAATTCTCCAAAGAATTGCTAACTTCTCCCACATTATTGACTTCACTGTTCCAATCATGGTAACTGTTAGGGATATTTCCTAATCAAGCCTCTCCGCTGACGCAAAATAATCCCAATCAAGCCAAATCAGATTAAAAGATATCCAGGTTTAAATAGACACCTGCACCCTGGGTGCCCCAGGTGAGGGGAACGGAAAGTCTCCAACGCTACCATCAGAAATGAAAAGGGAAAACCACGCATCCCTTGACCCTCCTAGGGGAGGGGTCACAGTTTGAGGGACACAGGGGAAGAGCTTCCAAAGATGGAGGCCAGAGGCTGGGATTACAGTAACTTTAAGTCTGATAATATTTTTCATTAAAAAAATCATATTATCATGGCTTATCTTGCGAGCGGAGTCATAATAATAATAAAGGATTGTGGGCCGATGGGTTATTAGAAACCTGGTTCTGGGGAGCTGGAGAGAAGGACACAGAGGGCATGGTCGGGGAACACAGGAAAGACGGGACAAGAGGGAATTAGATCAACCCCAGCTGTGGATAATGAGAGCTCTTCTCCTCCGGAGCCTTGTGAGAAGCTGAAGAAATGCGTCAGATGCAGTGCTGAAGAAAGCCGAGCCACAGAAGAAAGACAGAGGCCACAGAGGCTGGCTCCCTGTTGGTCTGTGGTGCCCGTGGGCTGTTTATGTCTGAATGCGGGACAGTCGCAGCGATCTAACGGAAGCCCGTGACACGCATCTCTGCCCAGAGACTAGAAACAGGACCCGGAGGGCTTAAAGTGAGGCTCGTGGTGTTGCCACAAAGTGTCAACCGTAGAGTTTCTGTAACTTCCTCAAGTATTAAGGAAGTGCTCCAGGCATATAAAAACCACACTGCCTCTTACTGGGTCAAGTTTTTACAGCTGCAATTTGCCCGGTGACAAATCTTAAGTTTTAAAAATAAAAGCAAATTTTAATAGTTGGAATAACAGCCCAAGGGTGTTACCTTAAACTGCAAGATATGTCCTAAGAGAATACTAAGTTAAATATGAAAAAAATATATAAATAAGATAAATTCATACTTCATTCATTTCTACATCTGTGTTTTGATAAATTTATGTGGCATAAAACCATTTCATACAGGATTTTATTAAAAAAAAATAGTGGATAGAGTAGGCACATCCTAGTCTCTAATTCAGATTATCTTCATATACTTAAAATAATCGGTTATGAAAGCATGGTTAATGCTCAAGTTATAATCTTTAGATAGATAGTAATTAAATGACCAGTGGCTTATATCCCTTTGATAATAAATCGATTAAATAACCTGCTAGAGATGAGCAGGGTTTTGAGCATTTGTGTCTCGAGCACTGTTTTAAGATAAATTAGTCTAAGCCTCAGTATCGCTTAATCAGATACTGTCTCTCATCTCAAAGATGATGAAGCTGAGTCTGAATAACTTGCCCAGGCCATGTTGCTAGTAAGAGTTCTTGCAAAGTGGTCTGGGATCTCAGTCTGTAATGTGCATGTCTTAAAAGCATAAGGACCTGAATTGGATCTCCAGACCCATGTAAAAATGCGAATCATAGAGGGTTTTTATTATCTCAGCGTGTGGGGAGTGAATAGAAATGGGTTCCAGATTCATTGGCCAGCCATCCTAAGGTTGCTTAGCTTCAGGTCCATGAGACCCTGTTTCAAAGGAGGTGGATAGTGTTTCCTGATGATAATACCCAAAGTTGTCCTTGAGTTTTACACACACACACACACAAAGTTAACCCAGAAACTAGTGCCACATAGTCAATATTTTCATTTTCACAGAATTTTACAGAAAGTTAGAACACATTATTTTGGTGGTCAAATGGTCCAAATCACCTGGAATCACTGTTTGTAGCAACCTGTGAGAATATTGCTATAAAGAAGTCAGTCTCTCTGACTGGCAAATCCACCAGTTCTGTAGTTACTGCATATTGTAATCCAATATGAGAGTAAAACCATTAGAATAAAGTAGTGGGGGAAAGGAAGAGAACGGTAGTCAGTCTGTTGACACACAAAGCAGGTGTACAGAACAGAATGATGTTTGTCATTCCGGTGGCTTGAAGATTTGAGCTTAAAAAAAAATAGCCATTAACTGATTAGTGGCTGGCCAAATTTGCTGTATACTAGCTTGCATTTATGGCTACAAAGAACTTTTCAAAGACCAGCATACTTCCATATGAAGAGCATTGCTCAGCCCCAGATAGTTTCCCACATGTGCCCTGCTTATTCCTGCTGAATGCATCTGCAAGTGGTCTGAAGAAATCAGCGTGTTGGTTGTTCATATGTTCTGTGATGACGCAGTAAAGTCCTGTATTTCCTCTCTCTCTCTCTCTCTCTCTCTCTCTCGTGACTCATGTCTGAGTGCAAAGATCTGCATTTTCTGCATGTTTTACAATTGCACAACTTCAGACAAGCCCAGCCAATATAACAGTACTTTGTCATAAGCCAAACAGAAAGGGAAATTTTCCAAAGTTCCCTTTAAAAAAAATGGTGCAACCTTTATATATGTTTCATGATTGATGTGCAAGATACAGTGACTGATCACTGGTTTTATTTGCTGCACATCAGACTCAACTGAGTTTCGCTGTGACCCCACTTGAATAAATGAAGCATTGTCTTTAGGGAGCACCCTCTCTTCTGACTTCTCTCTCCCTCGCTTATCTCTTTAATGATTCGGTATCCCCCCTCTTTCTGCACACTGCCTGGAACACAGGAAGAACCCTACTCCTTCTGACTCTCACGTTCCACCTGCTCATGCTTAACAAATATTTGCCCACGGTCTAGTCCTTGGAAGACAGAGCATTTCTCACCACAGAAAATAAATCACTGAAAATCAGAAGCCCCCCCCCCGACCTGCCCCCCAAAAGCCTCTAGATTAGCTAAAAGTTTCAACAAAAATTGAGAAAAATTGTGAGAAAAGTTGTCCTGAAAAAAGACATACTATGCTCCCAAAGACTTTAGAGGAACCTAGATTTTTGTGTGAAGTTGTAGAAATATCAGTGCTGAACACTGACTGTTGCTGGCTTCCCAGCAAGATGTTCAGCTGTTTTTTTTTTTTTAATATTGCACATTTTTCTGTTAATGTCTTCAGGTGTCCCTGTTACAAGCTGATGATCTGTAAGCTCCTTTGTATTTCTACGCCTCTAATTCCCTTTGCTTGTTTTTCAGTAATGGAGACAATGGGTGCAGACGCGATCCCTCTGACCGTGAATTCCTCAGAAAAGCGAGAAAGTGTCTGCATTTTTGGAACGGGCGATTTTGGAAAATCCTTGGGACTTAAAATGCTTCAGTGTGGTTATGCTGTTGTTTTTGGGAGTCGAAACCCGCAGGTGTCCAGCCTTCTGCCCAGAGGAGCAGAGGTCTTGAGCTACTCCGAGGGAGCATCAAAGTCTGACGTCATAATCCTGGCCATGCGCAGAGAGCATTATGACTGCCTCACAGAACTGGCTGACCACCTCAGTGGAAAAATATTGGTAGACGTCAGCAACAACCGAAAGATCAATCAGTATCCACAATCGAATGCTGAGTACCTCGCCCAGTTGGTGCCAGGAGCCCGTGTGGTCAAGGCATTTAATACTGTCTCAGCCTGGGCTCTCCAGTCAGGAACACTAGATGCAAGTCGGCAGGTAAGGTTAAATGAACTCCCATTCAGCCTTTCGAAGGTGAATTTTTCTATATGTACTTATCTGAATAAAACTCCAAAATAAAATCCCCAGTAAATATTTCATGTTCTAGTATGTGCTAAGGACAGCTTCCGTGGGTGTGATTGAGAAGTGCCGTCTATTATTGTTCATGTGCGCCTCAACTTTTATTAATAGCTTGATGGAACCAAATGAAGTCCGAATCTGGGGTCCTCCTGCCCATACTAAAAACTAGCAGCTGGCTGGCTCTTCCTCCACTTGCGTGAAACTGGCTCCATTTAAGCCGCTGAGATTAGCCGCCGTCATAAATGATGTAGCGCCCACACGCCGAAGAAAGATGAGACTCCTCCCGCTCCAGTGAACTGATCCTACAGCAGCGCTGTGTGCCTAAAATCACCTTCAACAAAAAGCATGGTCTTTCACCTCCCAGCACACACATGCAGCTCAAAACATCATCTTGCTAGACGTGTTGATTCCATATCTCTGCTTTGAGAGTATTCGTATACTATTTTTCTATATGATACTCATATATAAAGTTTAATGACAATTATTAAATAAAAAATAATTATGGAATTAATTCTTTTAACTCAGGTATTTGTCTGCGGGGATGATAGCAAAGCCAAGCAGAGAGTGATGGACATTGCCCGTACCCTTGGACTCACTCCGTTGGATCAAGGATCTCTTGTGGCAGCCAAGGAAATTGAGAACTACCCTCTGAAACTATTCCCAATGTGGAGGCTTCCTTTCTACATGTCCTCTGTGCTGTGTGCCTTCTTCTTCGCGTACTGTGTTGTACGAGAAGTGATATACCCCTACGTGAATGGGAAGACAGACTCTACGTTTCGCCTGGCTGTGTCCATCCCGAACCGTGTGTTTCCCGTAACGGCGCTGACCCTGCTCGCTTTGGTGTACCTCCCTGGTGTTCTCGCGGCCCTTCTGCAGCTCTACCGAGGCACAAAGTACCGGCGATTCCCAAACTGGCTTGATCACTGGATGCTTTGCAGAAAGCAGCTGGGCCTGGTAGCACTGGGATTCGCCTTCCTTCATGCCGTCTACACACTTGTGATTCCTATTCGGTACTACGTACGCTGGAGACTGAGAAACGGAACCATTACGCAGGTAGGTCTCTTCTCTGTATTTCTCTACTCCTTAAAGCACATTGCAGCCTTGCTGTAGCACAATCCGCTTCACAACTGCAGAGTATGGCTCCCCAAAGTTTGCTCTTTATCTTTAGGGGTGTTGGGGCGTTGTTTGTTTGTTTTGTTTGTGACGGTTTATAGTTTAGAGCTGGTTGGCCTCAAGTTCATGGTTTTCCTGCCTCCACCTGCCAAGTTCTGGGATTAGAGGCATGAATTGTAACACCCACCCAACTCTTCATTTTTTAAAAAAAAAAATATCAAAAATCAGAAACATTATCCCTGGGCTTGTAAATTAATCCACTTGTGATCACATAGAACCACTGAGAACAAAACTTAGATTCCAGACTCACTTGGCTCTAGATCTGTAATCCTGGGCTCACAGAGACACTGACCAACTGGCAGGTTTGGGACTCAAGAGTTCCTTTGGGTGAGGGTCAATAAGCACAGACTCCTAGGCTTCGAGCTTCTGGTTTTATGTAGATTTCTTTTTGAAGTCTAAATCACTGTCTCCTAGGTATGGAGTCTGCCCAAACATGTGCTACAGAAGCACAAACAATCTCACAAAAGGGTGCTTAGAAGTCCATCCATGTTTGGCTTGTAAGAGGCTGTCTTAGTTAGCCAGAAAACTAAACAATTCTGAAAAAAAATTCAAATACTATCATATGAATACTCAAAAATAAAACAACTCTAGTCTTTCGGCATTTACAGCAGAAATACTACAAGACTACAAGTCTGGTTTAGAAATGAACAGTCTTGGTATATCTCGTTATAGTCTCAAAGGCTATTAGTCAGTAACTCACCAACACTGTGTCCATGAGTATATCTTCACACATTCCCTAACAAATGCATGAAAGCTTCTTGAGTAAGGATCACACTACACAGCCTGATTCCCCTCACACTGTGATGTGGAAGATTTAATGCTGTATTTTGACATAATCATTATGAAAGACCCAAACTCTGTGTGTGTAACAGAGAGAGACAGAGACAGAGACAGAGACAGAGACAGAGACAGAGACAGAGAGACAGAGAGAGACTAAATAAAATATAAAAACCAAATTTTGATGTGATTGTTTGAGAACACTGTGCTTTGTTTGAGAAACAGAAAGTCATGTGCTGAAGAAGGCTAACGTATATGCTGATTTCATTTTAAGATCTGTAGGGTAAATTAAGACTCCCTATGTGACTCCTAGAAACAAGAATTGTAACAAAATCGCAGAAGAACCAATTACCTTTTCTGCTCAAAACATTCAAGTGTATTTTTCTAAAACTGTTCCTAAGCAATCAGTAATGAACATTACACAATTTGTTTTGGACAAGTAACGTGTAGAGGTGTGGTTGGGCACCCCAGAAAGAATGAGCTGCAGAGAGAATCCATGTTCATTGTTTGTAACTTTTCATAGGCCCTGGCTAATAAAGACAGCCCGTTTAGTACCTCTGCAGCCTGGATTAGTGATTCCTACTTGGCGCTGGGAATCCTGGGATTTTTTCTGTTTCTTCTCTTGGGAATCACTTCCTTGCCATCGGTGAGCAACATGGTCAACTGGAGAGAGTTCAGGTTTGTCCAGGTAAGTGCCTCCAATTTCAGTGTCCGAGTATTGCAAAATGAGTAGAGCGTTTTGCTAGTCGTGTTGCAAAGCGCTATCCCGCCTGATGTTCCACTTGGCTCCCTTACTTCCCAGGCAGCTCATTAACTGTTAGCTGCGGAGGATGAATTGGGACCCTGACAGGCACACTCCAGAAGGGTTTAATTTTCTGCTCAGGACATCTTGCCAAGATTCCTCACTGCCCCCAGAGTAGCCACTGAGAGGATAGAGTGAAAAAGAAACTCAAAAAGCTATTAACTAGCCTGTGGAGGCACCAGGCAGAAGGTGGAAAAGAACCCAAAGACAAATTTTCACCTTCTGAATTCAACTGTGCAATCGGGACATACTGATAAGAAAGGGTAGATATACCGTCATGCTTAAACTTCCACGATATTTGATAAATATCATCACCTTAGACTTATTCCTGGTCGGTATGAGAGAAATTCATTTTTTCTACATACCCACCACCAGACAACCTCATTAAAGGCAGGAACTATCCTGGAGACCAGAGATCCTCCCAGTGCCTGTCTCACCAAAAGGGGCCTCAGAAGCACCCCTAAGGAGCTCGTCGGGCCACGCCCCCGGGCCCCACCCAAGCTGAGCAACCAGAAGCTCCGAAGGTGGAACCCAGCTGTTGGCTAGAAAAGGCCCTCCAGATAACTCCCACACATCCTCACCATGCGCCAGTGTAATAAAAACAAACCACTAGCAAGCGAAATTAGATTTGGTTATCAAATCCTGCAGTTTCTCCTAGAGGCCAACTGAGGACAAATTCAAAGAATTCAGACAGAAAAGAAAAACTAAGAATTCCAAAACCACAATTTAGCATTCTTCTTCCTGTGACAGAAATCGGCTAGCAGCTGGCTTTGACCAGCAACAGAGAAGAACATAGAACTTGTGGAAGCCATTTGTTTCTGATCTCTGGATAAGATGATCAATAAAGAAGTTTTCCTCTGTTGATCAAAACAGCGCATTATGTCTAATCTAAAAGAGTTTATTCCTAGGACCTGTTTTTAATCAAGCCAGGAGAAGATAAAACTAGCATGTCATCAATAAACAAGTCTTTTTATATTTTTGATGAAATAGTTATCATCCTAAAAAAATGTTATGGTTCTTTTCTAGACCTAGCAGTGTCCTAAGTATTATAATAGTATCTATCATGTGTTTGTGGTCATTGCCAAGTAGACTTCATTGCGTGCAACACTTCCCTTTACGACGTGGAGGACTTAACACCCATGTTTTTGTTTTTGTTTTTAGTCCAAACTGGGTTATCTGACCCTGGTCCTGTGCACAGCCCACACTTTGGTGTACGGTGGGAAGAGATTCCTAAGCCCTGGGATTCTAAGGTGGAACCTTCCTTCAGCCTATATTTTAGCCCTCATCATCCCGTGCACGGTGCTGGTGATGAAGTTCATCCTTGTACTGCCGTGCGTAGACAAGACCCTGACGCGCATCCGCCAAGGCTGGGAAAGGAACTCACGACCCTCAAAATCAGCACTGAACGGAAAACCAGATATTTAGAAGAAAGTTGAATTTGTGGAAATTTCTGAACTAGTATAGTGAATGTGTAGAGAATAAGTGTCCAGTTAAGAAAGCATTCTCTCTTGTCATGGTCGCAGGTTTATCCTCACTAAAGGAAATATTGCCTGACTTTGAAAGACTAACGTAGGAAGCAAGCTCCCACCACTGCCTCTCCTCACGTAGTGACTCATCGCAGGCCTCCCTCACTTCCCGTTCCAGGAACCCTGGGGCGGCCACTGGGATTAGGTTCACAGTTTCACACTATGAAACGTTGTAGTTATGGGCAACATGCATGATGTAATGTTTTGCAAAATGCTGGAAGACTTTATGCAACTTCCTTCTTTAAGTCAAGGGCTGAGGTAAGAGAGAGAGAAAAAAAAAAAGGAACGCTGCCAGTCATCCTAGAGGTGTTGATTGGCACACCTAAAGAAGAGCCCTGGAGGGGCTGGAGAGATGGCTCAGAGGTTAAGAGCACTGCCTGTTCTTCCAAAGGTCCTGAGTTCAATTCCCAGCAACCACATGGTGGCTCACAACCATCTGTAGTGAGATCTGGTGCCCTCTTCTGGACTGTAGGAATACATGCAGACAGAATACTGAGAATACTGTATACATAATAAATAATTTTTTTAAAAAAGAGGCCTGGATGAAGGAGAGGAAAGGAGGGTTTGCTTGTTTGTTGTGAGGGTGGTGATCTTAAGTATTGTCAGACCGACCTGGGGTATTTTTGGTTTGGGTGTAGTGCTGAGGATGAAACCTAGGGTTTTATGCATACAAAGCAAACGCTATGTTACTGAGCCACACCCCAGCCCTGCCATAGTGAATATGTAGTCATATGTCCCCCTTGACTTTGTTTTTAGCAATACGGATATTTACTATCGAAAAATATTTTATAACTCAACAAATATATCTCAATGTTTTTAAATTCCTTGGATGTATGGGAATCTATGCAATTGTCACAACACTCCTTGTCTACAAGGAACGGGTTGAGGAAAGTCTGGATAAGAATAGAGAGACCCATTGGATTTTTCAATGTACAATAAGCAAGGGAAGGGCTGATAATGGCTTCGCACAAACTGTCAGACAAGCCAGATTTTTAGCTAGTAAGCTAAACAGATACTATGACTTTTCACTGTGCTGATTTTTATTATTTAGAGATTGTGGTATGCTTTTGGTGCTATAATTCTAAATACTGCTCAATTTAAGCACCTGTGAAATTAAAGATATAGCACCCCAAATCCACCTTTGTTATAATTTTGAGGGGTGAAGTTTTAAAGAAACTATCTGAAAAGCATAGCTGAGAAAATTGTGGACCGCTGGGAAGAGCCGCGGGGGGGGGGGGGGGGGGGGGGGGCGNGGGGGGGAGGTAGCCAGCTCTGGCTTCCTGCGTGGATAGTGCCTTTCCCAAGGTGACCTTTAGCAGGCTGAGCATCCTAGCTCTAGCCTGGAGCTAAAAGGAGATTTTTGCACAGTCTTCCCACGTGTCCCTGAAATAACTGAAAGGCATTGGGTTTGACATTTTTCTGCCTAATCTATAAAGGCTGTTTATTTTTCTTTTCTTTTGGCTTTTATTATCACATATCATACATGATATCATATATTGCTCACAATCCAGGGTTTTTTATATAAAGCTTATATTATGTAAAAATGGGCATTTCTTTTACTATTGCTCTGATAGAACATGTAGGCTATATCCAGTTTTTGCTAAAATGACAATAGAGGTAATTAATGTCTTTGTACTAATGATATATTTCTATATTTTTAATTATTTCCTTAGAATATTTTCTAAGTGTTAATAGCATAACATTAAAGAATATTTTATAAGATTTGCTGTGTTGTCAATTTCTAATGTGACTCTCTCAATCCCCTTGACACACCGTTACAGAGCCGAGATTTTACTTCAATTTCTGTTTTCTTCAAAACAGTTAAAAAGATTTGAAGGATGTGTTCCTGCAAATTACCTTTGATGAGCCCATGCAAGCGTGCCAAGAACCGGAGAACTCTGAGCAGAGCCAGGGTATGGGGAACAGACTGTGGAACATCAGTGTAGATGGAAGGAAACACAGCCAATCCCCCACGGTGCACACAACAGCCAGTTGTGCCCGGGCCCATCATAACACTGACTGAAACGAAATCACCATTAGTTTGGTCTAGGGAGGCATTTGGAGTCAACCACGTTCCCATTTCAGTAAGGGCTGTAAAATTAAAATAATAAAATAAAATAAAATAGAAAACACCACACCTAAGTAAAGTACACGTAGAGAAAATGTACTGAACTGTCTGTACTCTAGTGGAGATGATCTATCTCAGTACTTACACGCAGTCTTTGAGGCTGAAATCAGAGCCTCAGGGCTTTGGCTCAATAGTTGCCTGACTTTTGGGGCATGACCACAAAGGTTCTGTGGGCCACCAGGAAGAAGCCACTGCTCCTCTCTCCAGCCCTCCCTCCTTCCCAGCCATCCCATCCCCTACGGCTCAAAAGGAACAAAGCTGGCCCTGCCAACAGGTGGGGAGAATGAACTTAGGTCAGATGGCAATGCGTATTTTGAGTGAACTGTATTTCTTTTTTTTCTTTATTTTTATTTTATTTTATATATATAGATTTTAGTATTGTTTTGATTTTATTGTGACTGTGCTGTGGTTCTTCTTATTTATTCTATGTGTCTTTTATATCACCTATCTTGATCCCGTTCATTTCCCAACCCTTCACATCTGCCCTCTGTGCTAACCTCCCCCGCCCCCCGCCAAATAAAACAAAATTTATGAGAAAAAAAAAAGAAAAACAAAAGGGGAAAAATTAAAATCTTGTCATGGAAGGTGAAGTGTGACCCATTAATTCACACTTGAAATCCCTTTGTTTGTGTATCTTTACTTGCAAGTGTTTGTTGAAAAAAAAAAAAAAATTGGTCTGGTTTTTGATGCTGGGCCCTCACTAAGACCCCGCTTGCGTAGCCTGTTGTTGCCCTGGTTGTGGAGATCCTGCAGCTTTGGGTTGGTGGGTCAGGTCCCTTCGCATGCTCCAGCAGATCGTAGATGGGGTGGATGTTGGGGTGGGCCAAGTCCTCACCCTGGTTCTGAGCCTGGGCTTTCTACCAGGACTGTTCCACATAGAGACCTTACACTGAGATGTGTATTGACTGCAGCTGTAGTCTCAGCACTTGGGAAGTAGAGGCAGGAGGATCAGGAACCCAGGCAATCCGGGAGAACGTGGATAGAACCCTTGGAGGGAGCAAAAGGGGAAGTCTTCTCTTTTAGAGCGTGTAGGACGGGGACAAGTGAGATTCTCACAGACAGCCACACAATCTCCCTTAGGGAAAGACAAAGTCCATCTGGGTAACAGCAGTGCCTCACTGTTCGTAAAGAGAAGAGGGTGAGAGTTCAAGGTCATCTTAGCCTGCACTAAAAAAAAAAAAAAAAAAAAAAAGCCAAAGTAAATAACTAAAAGAAAAATTACACCAAGCTGCTTTTCTGCTGCAATGCTCCCTGTATTCCAGAAAAATAATTTATTCAAATTCACTGACACTTATTTTATATGCTTTTATATGCTTATTTTATATGTCATTCAGAGAAATGACGATTGCCATAGATGTGTAATCATTAGACATTAAAAAATGTTTTGGTTGCCTGGCGTGATTCCGTCCTGCGTGCCTGTTCTGAGGAGCAGCAGGCAGAACCCTCCGTCCGACTTCTCTGCCACCGAAGAACGCGCCTTCACCTCATGGAAGACTCCATGGACATGGACATGAGCCCTCTAAGGCCTCAGAACTACCTTTTCGGCTGTGAACTAAAAGCCGACAAAGATTATCACTTTAAGGTGGATAATGATGAGAACGAGCACCAGTTATCACTAAGAACGGTTAGTTTAGGTGCTGGGGCAAAAGACGAATTACACATCGTAGAGGCAGAAGCAATGAACTATGAAGGCAGTCCAATTAAAGTAACACTGGCAACTTTGAAAATGTCTGTACAGCCAACAGTTTCTCTTGGGGGATTTGAAATAACACCTCCTGTGGTCTTAAGATTGAAGTGTGGTTCTGGGCCTGTGCATATTAGTGGACAGCATCTA